GATAGATAGATAGATAGATAGATAGATAGATAGATAGATAGATAGATAGATAGATAGATAGATAGATAGATAGATAGGGATGACTAGATGGATGGATGGGTGGCTGAATGGATGGATGATAGACAGATAGTGCAAGGAAGAGCTCATTTCTTTCACCATAATACGCCAACAAAAAGATTAGCAACATGCTATGTCTAAAGCAAAATAAATTCAAAACAGCCTTCTCAAATTCATTTTCTAGTGATGTGTCAGCTTACTAGGTGATTTTTTTAAAATACAGATTGTAAACAAAAAGCATTATACCTATTGTAATAATCATTTATATTTGTAATGTATCATTTGTTTCATAGCTTTCATCCTGTCTGATCTCAAACCAGACCTGTGATGTTGACTATTATCATTCACATTCTGTTCTAGGATGAGAAAACATCCATCTTTTTCAGAAAAAGAATCCATAGAAGATTTTTTGATGGATTATTATTTTGTGTGAAGCTAAATGGAAATGCAAAAACAAAGGATACTCAGTATCCATTATAAAAGTTCTAAAACTTTCAGCATTGCATTTTTAATGTATCATATTATACAAACTGGGAAATCCATAACAAAAGTTATTTGTCTTTTTCTTCTTGTTGTTAAAGGTAATAGTACAACAGAACCAGAAGGTCTCCATAATGTCACAAACTATATAAATGATAATTAACACTGCAACCTTTCATAGAGACACGATGATTTAGGAAATTTCCACAGACAATTTGTGGTTAATGACTAACAGCAGTATTTATCGGATAGCCTCTTTGTTCTTCCCATGTTAATAGATATTACATAAAATCTGTTTTATGCCTTTGATATTTTGAAGTTCTAACGCAAGCACGGGAGCAGTTAAAGCACTGACCTTATAAACTTGGATTCCAAAGGGTCATACAAAGACATAAGGACTTCAGCATCTTCTCCAATTTTGCAAACAACATTTTTCAGATTTACAAATAATGCAAATGAAGGTGTTGCAGCAAATTTTGCTTCCCTACTAATGTCAAGATTCTGCTTTTGAGACTACAATCCAACAGAGAAAAGAAAAAAAAATTATACAATATTCTGTTAATTACTATCATTATACAGTAATACAATCAATTACATAAATCTACTTTTGTAAGTATATATAGATTGGGGTATAATTGTATAATTAACTAATCCCTAGTTACCTTCATTCCATTTATATCTGCTCTGCTAAGTGTAGAACGGTTGTAAGAGATGTGGAAATGTAAAAAGTGAAAGAACCCGAATAGATTTTGCAGGACTACCTTCAAAGTAAATGAAAGCACAATTCACCATTTCTATGTGCCTGAATAAACAGGCTAATTACATATTTGCAAATCCACACAAATCCTGGCGAAGCATAGAATTCATCATTTATGAATGCAAATTTCAGGTTCTGCCTATAATATTCCCCAAAAGTCTAGAAAAAGGTGTAATACTTACTACAGCCAGATAAAGCAAATTGGTGTTTGAAGGAAAGGAGAAAGAATTAAAAAGATTGGAGACTTCCTTGTTTATACAGAAATGGTTAAGAGGAACAGGAGGACAGTCAAGGACAAAAATAATTGAGGAAAAGGAGCAGAGGATGGGGAAGGAACTTGGAGTATTAGAAGTGGACAGGACAGTGGGATATGACATACTAGAACTGAAGCAAAACAGACTAGAGAGGAGGAACATAGATAGTAGAGAAGGGTGTCTATTCACCTAACAATATTTTGTTTTCTTCAAACCAGAAAAAAAAAACACCATTATACAGGAAATTTTCAATAGCAATAGCAATAGCAGTTAGACTTTTAGTATATAAATATATGTATGTATGTATGTATGTATGTATGTATGTATGTATGTATGTATGTATGTATATGTGTGTGTGTACGTATATATATACATACATATATACATACATACGTATATATACATACATACATATACATATACATATACATATACATATACATATACATATACATATACATATACATACATACATACATACATACATACATACATATATATATATATATATATATATATATATAAGAACACATGTGCACGCAAAAACACGTA